AATCAAATTTTTCAGGCGGAAATTTCCGGAGGTCATGTGAGATTCCGTAAATCGACGCCTAATTAAATTTCCTGATGTATTAATCAATGATAAAAGTATACTAGTAAGTAATAATAAATAATTTTATTTAAAAAAAAAAAAAAAAACTAAAAATTATTTATTATTTATTTTAGATTTGACAAATAATCATAATGTATAGTTTAAGTTATTAGTTTATTATATCTTTTACATAATAAAGAACATTTATTAATCTATATTTTTACATAATAAAAATTTTATAAAATATTTCTAAAAATAATAATTAATTTAAAAATATTTGAAAAATTAAAAGTTAATCTAATATAAATATTTGAAAAAAAAATTTGTAGAAATAATTTAAAAATTTTTAAAAAATTTTGAATATTTGTTGTCATCGATATTAAGGAAAAAAGAAAAAAAAAATGTTAGAAACAATATTGAATAAACTAATTCAATCTCTGTACACTGTTTTCTAAGTAAACGTATTAGCGTCTAAGAGTATCTTACTTCTAGACAACAGGATTTATTCTACTTTATGAATAATCCCCATTGAATAACTACCTGTTACTGCGATTAGATCAACAGACAAAGGCAAGTCACCATAGAAAAATCGTAGTATAAGAGTTGTATTAATTAGGAAAGAAAATATCGAGAACTAATAGTGTTTTAGCTATAAGGAACTCCACCCTTTTCATCATTTTAATACAACTGAAAGGACTCAAGAAGATTCACTGGAGTCTTAGACAACCCGAAAACACAACATCAAATGAAGATTTTATAGATAGTAATGATATCCAACCTTGTTAAAAACCAATATACTTACTTGAAAAATAAATAAGTTTTAAAAATTTTTTGGAAATTTTTATTTTCAATGAGAGAGAAAGAATATATAATTTTTGAAAAGTTTATTTAGTATAAATAAACAAAATAAATAAACAAGATCTCTATTTAATAAATTAATTTTAATTTATAATAAATAAATATTATATATATTATATAAATAAAAATTTAATTTCAAAATTGATTTAATAGTTAATAAAAAATCGGGTTACCAATATACCAAGCCATATAATAGAAAAAATTTTTGTATCAATAAAGCTTTGCAAATATAAATAAAAAAAATTATAAAGAAAGATATAAATTTTTGAAAATTTTTAAGTATTAAATTTTCAGAAATTTTTGAACAAATATTTTCATAAAAATTATAAAAATTTTCGAAAATTTTTTAAAGCATTAAAATTACGGAAAAAAACACCTATAATATTACGGAATTTTTATATTTCAATAATTTTCAAAAATTTTTGAAAATTTCTGTAATATTACACAAAAAATTACGGAAATTTAATACTGTGTCAAAATTACGGAATATTATGTTTGAAAAAATTTCCTGATGTGATACCTTAACTATTAATTTAACTTGTACTTTAACTGAGATATTAACTTGTACTCTGGTTTGTACTCTAATTTGTATTCTAGTGTTACAGATTAACAAGAATTTAAGAATCTATTAATTTAAGTAATAATATCTAATTTGTACTACAGACTATTAAATTGATCTATTGTAATATTATATATAATAAGAAATAGATAATTAATAATAATAAAATAATAAATATACGATATAAAATATATAATAATAAAATATAAAAATAAGCAATAAAAATAAAGGTAACAGTACCTTCATGATAGTATATTGATAATCAAAAAGATAAAGATGTAGTAGCAGAAACTTGTTGTTTTATAAACTAAGAAGCTAGGCAAAATTTTTTAGGCAAGACACTTATTTCAAATCCTTTAACTGTTCCTATGACAGTTACTACTATTCTACATTGTGTAGCAAAAAAAAAGGTTAAATATGGAAATGTGTAGGATTTGTACAGCAGGTAGTTCAATTTGCTGTTAAATATGATAGTTATGATGTTATGATCACGTGACTAAGAAAATTTATTGATTAGCACAAAGAAATAATGAGTATATTGACTAAATCAGTACAAGACCAAGATTATCCAGAAATCCAAGTTGATGACTCAAACAAGGAAAATGAACCTGAAATTGAAAATCCATTAGTATTATGATACAAAAAATATCCAGAAACAAAGTGATACAAATTATCAACAGAAAAAAATTATGTGCAAAATACACTTGTGGTACATGTGATCAATTAGGATATAATAGTGCAAGGTGTTCAAATTGATAGAGAAAAAAAAATTAAAAACAATTTTTTTTTTCATTTCATTTATAAATTCATCATTCTTTATTATATTATATTTGTAATAAATTTTAATATAAAAAAATAAAGTCTATCCGTGACATGTCATTACATAATTGACCAATCCGGACCTAATTTTCGAAGTTGTTATAAATAAAACGTGTAACAAGTTGTTACAATTAGATTTATCCTTATTTATTTATTTGTTTTATTTTTTTCGTTTTACTTTTAAGTCTCGCGTTTAAGTCACGTATTAAAGTATCATGTGAGATCAGGATTTACGTGAATTTTATTGGCTTAAATGATATGTCGTGGAGCTCTGTTGTAAAAAGTGGAAAAATTTATCTAATAATCAATCGATTAAAAAAAAAATGTCAGATACATATTTCAGATAATTCAGATAGTTCAGATAATTCTTCTTGAGTTCACGAGCTTCTTGGACAACGCACAACATGTGCAGCAGAAGTGAGCCATAGGATAATATTTTATTCAAGCAATTCGTATACTTTTCTTTATGAACATCCAAATATTAATTTTTTCAAATGACATCAAGTTGAAAGTATGTTATATAATTAATCAATTGTCAAATAATAATCAAATAAATAATTAAATAAATAAATAATAGAAATTTATATATTTACTGATAGCTCTACGGTACTTATAAATCAGCAACAATCGGTTAACCCTCGTTATTAGATTTCAGAGCAAGGGCGAAATGGGATGCATGAAAAGAATTTGATGGAATTTCGAAAGAAGAGGCAATGAATTTGTATGTTGATATTGTTGAAATTGCGAATATTGGATGGAATAAAAGTATTGTTATTGATGATAGTGAAAACATTGAAGAAAATATTGAGAAGAGGTGAATTAAGGGAAAGAGAAAAAGAGCTCTTTTTATTCTTTCATTTATGAGAAAAATATTTTTTTTTTTTTACTTTTCTTTTGATACATTCTTTTGATATCTTTCATCGGATATTTTCGTTGGATATTCTTCTTTGCTTTAAACATCTCATTGGATAATTACAGAATTTTCAAAATGCATCACAAGATAGAAGGACATATATTTCTACTATGTCTTATGAAGATTGTGATAATTTTGCAAGGTGAGTCTTTATTAATATAATGAAAATATTTTCACATTATTATTCACATTGTTAATAATATTATTAATATTAGTGATAAGATTTTTTCATATGTTAAACAAGGTAAGCTTAAAGAGATAAGTAAAATATTGGATTCTGATAAAGAAAAATATATAAACATTAAAGATAACCAGATAATTATTAAATTATTTGTAATTAATTTCATTATTTCATTTTTCTTAGGGTTTATCACTCTTGCATTTGGCTTGTGATCGTGATATTTAGAAATTGTCAAGTTATTAATGGAACGTGGTTCGAATATAAACGTTTTGGTAAAGGGTTTTTTTTTATATATTTTGAAATGATTGACTAACAAAATATCTGAGAATTCAACAAATGAAAATGAAACACCCTTTCACTTTGATAATACGTTTTTACTTTTATTCACAATTTATATAAAAAAAAAATTATTATTAAATTTTTATTTATCTTTTATGAAATTCAAAAATTCATTAAGATCATTAAAGCATGTCTTTCTGAACATCTTGAAAGTTCAAGACATTTTATAGAAATAATGTTGATATTACTATCAAAGATAAAGAAGGGCTTACAGCATTAGAACAATATGATGAAGAATTTAAACAATTAGTTATTCAAGATTAAATTAAATAATAATTATTAATTAATTTAAATGAATACATTTTATTTATTTGTTTCATAAAGTTTTTAATGTTTTATTAATTTATCATCGAGAATGCATTTTAAATAATAATAATAATAATAATCCTAATGAATAGCCATTAAATCCGGTTTTCATTCTCATTGGTTATAGCAATTGCTTCTTCATTAAAATTTTATTATTTAATTCTTTTGTTTCAATTTTAATCCAGAAATATGAGGAATTTTATGAGCACGTCCTATTGCTTGTATTGTTATTATAATTTTTGTTTTTCGAAGTATTTCAATCGACATGATCAAAAATTATATGGCATCATTTATCTTGTCTTGTTTTAAAATTATATTAAAATTCTTTTTGTTTTCGCAAGACAAAGACGAGAGATACCAAAAGATACTAAATCACCATATTTATATAAATAAATCAATCTTTTAAGCGTTACGATGCTTTACTTCAATCGTTTAATTATTTGAATTATTTTAAATCATATTTATCATTTATTTATTTATGCTTTGGACTCATAATAAAGGTAAAATATAAAAAAAAAATAAAAATAAAATAAAAATAAAAAATAAAACATCACTTAATAATCTTTTAAATAAAAAAATATAGAAATTCAATTTAAAGTAATTAATGACAATTAATCATACAATTATTATAACAAAGATCATATTCTCTTCCTCTTTTATCTCGGCATTGCTTTTCACAAATTTTTTTGCATCTCGGTGTTTTAAATAATTTTATTTGCAGGTCTCTGCTATTGCTATTGATGACATTATTCACAGCTTTAGGATTGACACCATCTGAATTGATAACTTTATGCGATCTTTTTTTGTCGAGTGAATTGTATTCTGGTTCAGAATTAATCGGTCGTTTAAAAATTTTATATTTTTTATATTTAGTTCTGATTTCTTCATCATCTTGAAAAGTTATTTTAGTTATTTTTGTTATTTTGGTATTAATTTTATTTTTTACAGAAGTAGTAATAATATTGATAATTTTGGGAATACTAAGACAAGAGGTAAAAGATATAACGAATATTAAGATTATTAAAAAGAATAAAATAAGTATTTGCTTTTTCATTTTTTATGATAAACGAAATGAATGGATGGATATTTTGTTATTTCTTACAATTTAAAGTAATTAAAAACTTTTGTAATAATAATAATATTTTTTTTTTCTTTATATAAGATATACTTAAAAATTAATCGTTTCTAAATCCAAATAAACAACCCTTAAAAGATTTAAAGTAATGATCATTGATGATATCATAATATTTAAGATTTTAAAATAGAAAAATTTTCCACCACGAAATTACGAAAACGATCGACTGACTATCCGATGTGAAATCGAAAATTAAAATTGATTAAATTGGTTGTAATTCATTATAATTCGGTAACAACAACTTCGATCAATGTAACCCACCATCAAGTACCTTGGAGATCCTATTATTATTTTAATAATAATATTAGTAATATTAACTAAAATTGAATAAATTAAATAAATTAAATAATTATATACTTACTCCGAAGGTAAACAAGCTTCAGGTTCTTCGGAGGCAAAGTAGGCAAAATTCAAGGCTTCTCTTGCCGTTGGTCTATGGGCTGGGTTTATCGACAAGAGAGCTTCCACGAGTTCAAGGGCACCCGGGGAGAGGTCACTAAATAAAAAAAATAGTTAGATGACGAATTTTATGATTTTTTTTTATGCAATAATGATCATAATAAATCGTTAAAATGATACTCCAACCAACGATGTATATATACTTACTTTGAATATTTTTCCCTAAAGCAGGACTTGGATTCAGGGAAATTTATTGTTGCGTATAAGGGAAGGTCCACCATTTCTGGCCATTCACTTGTGGAAGGAGCCCCCATAAGTTTAAATATCATTTCCAATTGGCTTATCTCATCCCAGCCTGGAAATAGTAACTTTCTGGTGGTCAATTCCATCATCATACAGCTATTTTTATATGTAATGAAGAGAAATCGTTAGAAAAAAAAAAGAATTACCTTTTAATAAATTAAAAATTAAATAAATAAATATATATATTATTGTATAGATTCATTACCCGACACTCCAAAGATCTATTTCTGGGCCGTAATTTGTCGCACCCCAACACAATTCCGGAGATCTATAACACAACGTGACCACCCTATTCGAATATTCGTTTAATCTCTTTGGTGCAAATTGTCGGGAGAGCCCAAAATCGCATAATTTGAGTTCTCCATCGTTGCTTACCAAGAGATTCGCCGCTAATAAGTTAAAAACAAATGAAGTAGAAATAAGTAACAGATATTAAAATAATATTAAAAATTTTTAATTTTAAAATAATAATTACGTTTAATGTCCCGGTGCAAAATATTATGCTCATGAATATGAGCCAAACCTTCTAACAAATTTTTCATTAAAAATTTGACGTGTTGCGGACCGTATGTTATTTGAGGGTTTGGAATAATTCGAGTAAGGTCGCAGCGCATGTACTCGAATATCATAAAGACATCCCCTAATAAATTTATATAAAATTAAAGAGAGATATATATATACATATATATATTTTAATAAAAACTTTTCTTCAAATTTACATTATGCACATTCGATTTCTTTAAATAAATACCTTTGTAAGTCATCATTTCCTTTAAACGAACTATGTGTTCATGATTAAGTTTCTGCAAAATCTTAATTTCTCTTATAGCAGTAATCGGAAACTACAAAATCAATTTCATTTATTAGTTTAGAATGTGTAGAATCATGATCCCTAAATTATAAATTATAAATTTAAATACATACTCCTTGTTCCATTTCCATTCGAATGTGCTTGAGTGCAACAATCTCTCCGTTTTCGCGGCTTTTTGCTTTGAAAACCGTGCTATAAATTGGATTCATATTATAAATATTTATACATTATTGACTCGAAATCATAAATTAACTTATAAACCATACTTACCCATATGCGCCTTCGCCAATTTGTTCTAATTTTTCATACAATTCTGTTGGCTTTACGGTAAGACGTGAAGCTCGTGGCACGGTTGTTGGATTTGTGGGCAAACTAGTTGGAGGTAGCTTGGCATCCACTGCTTTAGGTGATTTTAGTGATTGTAGTAATGGTTGTGTAGGTTGTTGAGATTGTTGAGGTAGATGTGATCGTTGAGGTTGTCGAGGTGGATGTGATCGTTGAGATTGTTGCGGTGGATATCGTTGAGGTTGTCGAGGTGGATATTGAGGTTGTTGAGGTGGAGGTTGTCGAGATGGTGGTCGAGACCATTGTCGTCGATCAATTTGTTGATCATCGTGACGAGAACGGCTGCACTGTCTTTTATCACGGTGCGAACTTTCATTTCTATAGGATGAACCACCGCGAGGTGATATTTCATCTCTGTAAAATCTTTTACGGCCGTCATCTTGCCTTTGACTACGTTCGTGACTGCGGTCACGGTGGTTACGGTGGTCACGGTGGTCACGATAGTCATAGTAAGGTCTTCTATCTCTTCCACCAATACTATCATTATTTCTGTTATTATTACGATTACTATTACCAGTATTATTGTTGGCATTGTTTCTTTCACTTTGACCGTCCCTATCTCTATTCCTCAAATATTTATCTTCGTGGGAACGGTCTTCACTTCTCTCATTTCTATAAGTTCTTTCATTTCTACAAGTTCTTTCATATCTATAAGTTCTTTCATCTCTATAATTTTGTTTTGATGGTCTATAATGTCGAGGGTTATCCATATTTGAACGATATATTATTATTATTATTGAAAATAGTATCAAAAGAAATATCTTTTTTAAAATTTTTAAGCGCGTTGTTATTAAAATTCAGTTTCAACAAATCCAACAAGAAAACAATTCTGATGATCAAAAAAAAAAAATTAACGATTAGATAAAAAATTATCATCCAATAAAAATCAGTTATTAATTATGCATGATTGTCAAGTGATAGAATTACACATTAAAATTTCCGTTACACGTAATTTTTTTGATAAATAATAATAGAAAAGTTATTCCTCACCCAATCCCTATTGTTATAATTGTCACACCGTCTGGATATCAATTTTTAATATATGTTTTTTTGGACAATCTTATTTGGCACCTTTTTTGTCACTCTATAATCACCTGATTATCATTTGGTAATCACATGAAAGCAATTTTACTCGAGTAAAAATAGGGGATGTGAAATATCTAGTCTCATCCTGGGTGAGGAATAACATTACCCTATATGAATAATGTGTTTCGACGTCGCCTTGTTTTATGGCGAATCGAATAATTTTTGTTCATTTCAATAACATTATCTATTATAATTAAGATTAGAAAAAGTTCCAAAGTATTCGTATGCATATAAATCACGAATAAAGAAATTGCATATTTGATGCTATTTGTATTGTTATTCTAAATATATTTAAGCACAAGGAAAAATGAGGACAAATTCCGAAAATTTAATCAAAGACAATTTATTTATTTAATATACATATATATATATGATTCTGAAAGACTTTTTTTTTTATTTAGGCATATTAATAAAATTCTCAGAGAGAATTCATTTGACAAATTTAGATCATAAAATTTTTAAAATATATTGAACTTTTCCTTGAAAAGATTTTTGAAATTGCACTTGGTTAATTTTCCTAAGAAATTAATAATGATAATTTTCTTAAGAAATTGAATAACGATAATTTTCCTAAGAAAATAAATAACGATAATTTTGTTTTTGAACTTGGGTAAGAATCTTTTTTTTTTTTTTACGAAATTGGGGCAGTATTGGACTTCAGGTTGAAAATTGACTTAGTCACTTAAAATTTAAAATCTTTTTTTTTTTTGTAGTTATGAAAGTTATGAAATATTTGATAGCAATAATTTCAACATTTCTATACGAGAATCAAATTCCTTTTTTACAATTTAATTCGATAAATTATAATAATACAATTTCACTTAGCAAAAATTTAGTAACAGATAATGATTTAGTCTCGTCAGATATTAAAATTCAAAAAATATCTTGTGCGGATTTTGGAGAAGGGGATACTTAGACATGGCATATTGAGAGTAATCATAAAAGAAATAAATGTCAAAACAAAATTTGTCAAAATTGCGGTATAAACAAAACTCTATGTTGGAGAAAAGATATTGATAATGGATTGACACTTTATAATGCATGTGGACTTAAAAATATCATGGTTATTCTCGACCTCAACCTTACCTTATTGATAAATTGAATAATTAATATTTTATTTAGATTTATTTATATTTAATTTATTTATTTCATCACTATTTTAATCATTTCCTAGATAAAGTAAATATATAGATTTTATTATTATTTTTTTTTTTTCTTGACATTTAACTTATAGATTTATCATAATCTCACATCCTTTTATTTTCTTTTAAATTGAATGAAATTATAATTTGGCAAGAAATTAATTTATACATTATTTCTCAATGTTGTCATCAATAATAAATTGCTTAAATTTTATTAATATGAAAGAACATATTAACGAGTAACTAATTGAAGAAAAGAAACGTGAAAATTTTTTCATTAATTAAAATTTTTTTTATCAATAATTTATATTACATTTTTTAAAAGATTTAACGATTGTACAAATATTCAAATTTCTCTACTAATTAAACATAAAACCTTTGATAACATAGATGATAATAATATAAAGTTATAATATATATACATACTTTGTTCAACAAATGTTGTCGAAATAATCATAACCATAAAAAAAAAGGGGGGGTGGTTAAAGCCAGGTACATCATGAAATTTTTCGAAATTAATTAATGTAGAGTGAGGGCTAGTTAGGATTAAGATTTAGTATATAATATATGTAAAATTGTCTCCTCGACACTTTTTGTTAATGCACTAAGATATGTTTAGACATCTGTTTCTTGTATTTTTCGTGTTTTTCACTTTGCTTCGTCGGGATAATTCGTATAAACAAAAATTCACAATTTTGATTGGCCAAAGTCAACGGAAAATCTCGTGATGTTGTACCTACGATCCATAAAAAGAAGCGAAAATGGAAACCCATTGATGGTAAAAAGAAGGGTAATTTCTGATCAACTTGAGCATTTTGGCATTTTTTTTTTATTCAAGAATTTTTTTAAGCCCTAATTTTACATTAAACATTCTTTTGTGCATAGAAATTTATATCATTTTCTTGCATGAATTATGTGCATTATGTAAGTGGTTTTTTTTGTTGTAAGGCGTATGTATGAATAAAGCATTGAAACAGTTAATCAAAAAAATTTTCTATTACACAATTCAAGTTATCACATTTTTATTGATGATGCAATTTTTGCAGGATAAATTTATTATAATAAAATCATTTACAGTACTAATAAAATATAAAAGAACGAAAAAAAATAATGATCAAAATAATAAAATCAATAAATAATAAAAATAAATAAATAATAATAATAATAAAAATAAATAATAATAACAATAAATAATAAAAATAATAAATAATAAAAATAATAAATAATAAATAATAAATTTTAAAGTATGTTGTAACGAATTTTTCCAAATCTCGAATTATATACAAATATATATTTATTTTAAGGGAATTTTTTTATGGAATTTCATCCTCAACATCATTGAAATGTACATGTTTCTTGAGAGGTGGATTGGTAGTGTCGGTGGTGGTGGTGGTGTTGATAGTGGTAACGGTAGAAGTAGAAGATGAATATAATTGATCATCTTGATTGGGGATGTCTGATATAGGAATATTATTATTATTTTGATCTTCTTGTGAAACTGTTGCTGTTGTAGTAGTGGTGACAGTGGTGGGTTGTGGTAATGGTGGTAATGGTAATTGTCGAGATAAAGAATCATTTTGTATTGAATCAATTGGATTTATTGGATTAGGTATATTTCGATCATCTTCTACTTGTTGATCAGGTGGAGAAACAATTTGTATTTCTAAAGAGGTACCTACTGTTGATAAAGGTGAAACAATATCAGTTTGATTTAATATACGAACAGGTGATGGTTTTGATGTTATAGTTTCATTAAAAATTATTGATTCTTTTGCCTGACCACCTGGAGAAGATGATGATGTTGATTGAGTAGTATTTTCTGATCGTATAGAAATAGTTGCAGCAGCAGCTGCCGCTGCTACTACTGCTGTTACTGAATCTTTAATTTCACGATAGCTTTCTGTAGTAGATTGATTTAAAACATCATCATTATTATTATTAATATCAGTTGAATCAGTTGAATCTTCAAAATAATTTGAAAATTTATCTGTGGGTAATTCTGGTAATACAGGTAAAGGTAAATTTCTTCGTTCAAAACTAAATTCAGAATTTTCAATAATGGGAGTATTTTGGGGAGGTTTAGGATCCATAAGAGGAGATAAAGTGTCAATAGATGAATAAGTTGGTTGTATTTGTAATTGTGATTGTGAATCTGCCTGTATATTTGTTGTTTGTGGATCTGGTTGTAAATTGGATGTTTGTGAAGTTGTTCGTGAGTGTTGTGAGTGTATTCGTGGATCTGGTTGGGAATTTGTTTGTGAATGTATTCTCGGGTCTGATTGTAAATCGAATGATTGGGAATTTGTGAAATCTTTTTGTAAATCTGATGTTTGTAAATCCGATATTTGTAAATCTGATATTTGGGAATTGGTTTGTGAATGCGTTATTTGAAAATCTTTTTGTAAATCTGATGTTTGGAAATCTGTGGATATTGGTTGATATGTAAGAAGTTTTTGGGATTTGGAAGGTGCCCATTCATCCACAGATTTGATAGCATTAATAACAATCTGCTCAGTTTCTTCTTTACCTAATGAAAATAAAAATAAATAATAATTTAAAAATAATAATATTAAATTAATTTAATTTTAAATTAATTATTATAAATTACCATGATAAGGAGCTCTTGGATCACCAGGTTTTGTATCTTCAATAGGGATTTGGTCCACAATTTCTTTACCAGAACTTGTTAAAGTGACTAATTTCTGTCCAAATTCATACCATGCATCAAATTGAATCATCAATGCACTCTTTAATTTTTTACGCTTGAAATCAGCTAATTGAGTTTCTTCTATTATTTGTGAAAATTGATTTATATTAATAATGTATAATAATAACAAATATTAATAATATATAATAATATTAATAATACAACAACAATAATTATTACCTTCAATAGTGTCTTTTTCCACTATTTCCAATTCTTTTCGTAAATCTTTTAATTTTTGTTCAACTGTATCAGTTCTTTTTGATTTTCGTTCTTCCCTTTCTATCTTACTCCATAATGCTTCCTTTTTTGTCCTTTGTTCTTTCATTTTTTCTTCTTCACTGCGAATTTCTTTTAAACCTGCACGATATATCCCATATTGAGTAGCTTAAATTATAAAAATAAAAATAAAATAAAAATAAAAATAAGATAATAGAAAATAAAATTTTAAATAAAGAAAAAAATAAATAAATAAATTATCTAATATTTTAAATACTTTTATACCAAGATTTGTTCCCAATTTTGCTAACTTTGCTGTTAAAATTCCTAATTTTTCTGTTACATCACATAAATCAATATCTTCACTTCTTCCCCAAACAGCTAAACATTTTGAAGAATCAGCCTGATCATTGGCCCAATTATTAAGAGAATTCCAGACACTTCGTTCAGTATTAATTAATTTATTTAAATGTTTAATATCATTGTTGACTATTATATATATATATAAATAAATATAGATAGATAGATAGATAGATAGATGTATATATATAAATATATAGATAAATATATTTATTAACATAGATAGATAGATATATTTATAAATATATTTTATAAAGATATTTAAAAAATAACAATTATATTAACATTATTTTAAATTAAAAGAATAAAAAAAAATAAAATAAAATAAAAATTAACATTTTTTTTAATTGTTTTTGTGATCTTACCTAAAGGATTCGTAGCAAGGTTATGACGAATATCACTGGTAATATCTCCCAATTTAAATAATTTCATGTCAAGAGAAAGCGAATTTTATATATATGTTTAAAATAATAAATATGTAGGTGGTGAAAAATTGTGAGTGAGTTACAAAAATTGAAAGTGACAATTTTAATATAATGATATATATATATATGCGAATTGTAAATTGTATTACTCAAAATGTTAATTTTAGGGTACTTAATGGAATTTACCGTAAGTTTATTTTTCGTACAATGCGAGAAAACGTAAATTAACATCTGTTTATTTTCGATTTTCTCAAGCGGCGGGAATGAAATAATTGTAATACAAAGATATAATTCTTTTGGATATTATTAAGAACATCAAAAAGTCAAAATATCAAAAGTATCGGAACATACAAAAATGTTAACTGTGACACAAAGTAATCTTCAATTGATCATTAGATATCAGATGATACAAGATCTAGAAATCGAAAAATGTGATTTTGGTTCTTTGTTCTTTGAAATTTTAACAAAAAAAGGAAAAAATTTAATTACGTTGTGTCACGATTAGCAATTTAAATTTTAGTTGCCTGGTGACTTTTGAGTTCGATTTGACATGGCACGTTATCCATTTCTTTCTTTCTTTTAAACTTAACCTTTGAAATCAATCTTTTTGAAATTAGTTGATAATCAATAATTGACTAAATTGAATAAAATATTTACGAAATAACTTCAGACCAATAAAATCTATGTAAACAGATAGCATTTATTACTTATCCCATTTTTTTATCTTTTGAATTAACCTTAATTGATTGAAATATTTATGAAACAAATAGCATTTACTTTTTATTTTTATTACTTCTTATCAATATTAGAAATTCAATGTGCGGAATGTGTCCTAGCACAAAATTTGAAAACTCCGTACATAAAAAAAAAAGCATTCGCACAAAATTTTTGCATATAGAATTCTAAATTGTGTAAATTCCGCACAGGATTTAAAATTTGAATTTCAAACACTGTTTTATCTTTTAAATTAACCTTAGAAATTGATCTTTTGAAATTAATTGATAATCAATAATTGAAAAATTTATGAAATAATTTTTTAATGAGTAATTTTAATTATCAATGGGTATAAAAAAACAATGAAATTTGTGTAAACAAACAAAAGTTATTATCAGAAGGCGAAGTAAAACATGTTGCTTTCATTATATACATTATTATTTGTTATACACAAAACTGCCCTTAAATTTACTAAATAATAGGAAAAGGAGAGGACATTTATTTCTGTGTCAAGTTATATGTTAATATTGTTTGCCACTGTTTTACGTGGTCAATTAGCCAGACTTTCTATTAAAACATTATTTTACTGTATTTTTATAATTATATTTAATAATTATTACTTATTATTATTATTATATTTCAAATCATTTTAGAATTCAATAATAATAAACAGTACATTTTATTATACAAAATAGATTACTTTTTTTTATTAAAAACAATTTTTTTTTTCTTTTCATTTTTTATATATTTTTTTTTAATAACAACCTATTTTATTTTGTTACTAATTTCATTTCAAATTTCAAATCATTTCATCCTTCTTTTTTTTCATTAACTACTACCTCTCACAAGAAAAAAGATAAATTAACAAAAAAAAAAAGAAAGTGAAGTAATTCGCGTTTTAGAGTAAGTTTACAAAAGGAAGGAGGTTTTTTTTTTAAAAAAAAAAAAAAAATCGTTACAAAAACGATAAAAAAAAAAATCCAGAGTTAAAGAGTGAATATTATACAAAAAAAGGGGGAAATTGTATATACCTATAAATAAATAAATATATTTATTTATAAAATATGAATATAATATGAACAAAATTTCTTAATATTAAAGACTACATATATATTTCATATAGAAAAAAACTACATTTAACCAGTGAAAATTAGCATCACTCTTTCATATATATATAAAGAGTGTAAAGAATGTAAAGAATTTACGAAACCAAAATAATAAATATATAGTCCAAAAAGAAGAAATTAAATAAAAAAGAAAGAATGTATATAAACAAATAAAGTCCATGATAGTATTTACAAAAAAAAAAAAAAAGAGGAAAAGAAAATCAAGTGTCCTTTTTCATTTATCATCAATGTCGTCTTCTCTTTTATCATGTATAAAAAAAAATAATTTTTTTTTTAGTATTTAATCCCTAGAAATTTAATTCCAAGAATTTTATTCTCTAGAATTAATCTCCAGGATTAATCCTCAATAAATTTAATTAATTAATTCGATTTTTGTGCCCAGAATCGATATACTTTCGTTGATGAATTATATTTGGTAAATTCATCACGACATCGTTTCCAAAATTCTAAAAATTCATCTTTGGTTACTCCAATAAATTTTGGTAATATATCGATAACGGTATCAGCGAAATACATATCTAAAAGTTCTTCATAAATTTTACCAGATTTACCACCATGTATTCCTACTGAAATATTACGATGATCGGATTTAACATTTATTAAAGATATTGAAGAAGTATTAAATGAATGATTTAAATTTATGAGAGAAGAAGTTGTTGTTGATGTTAAATGTGTAGAAGGTTTATTATTGGTGGAAGAGGAGTTAATAATGGAGGTAGATGATGAATTGGATTTATAGTATAGATTATTATAATAATCTCGTGATTGAAAAGGAGGAGGAGGAGGAGGAAGATGATGTTGGGATGATGTTGTGGTAGTTACTGGTGTTGTTGTTGAAGGTTGAGAAATGGTAGAGAATAATAATGACTCAAGTCTTTGAGTTATATTTATGTTAGCACCAGTTGCGGTTATAAAATTGTTTACTATTAATAATAAATGAAAAATAATTAAAAAATGAGATTAATAAATATATTATAAAAAACGAACGCGTGAAAATAAAAATATAATAAATTTTATAATAAATTATTTATAAAAAAAAAAAATATAATGATACATACGATAATGAATTAATTTCGAAAATAATGGACCAGAATGATGATAAATCATATCACATTCCATTAATTCAATATATCCACCTGGTTTTAATACACGAACTAAATCTCTTAATACCAAATCCCATTGATAATCTTTTAAACAAGAATTCATATTTGACATTTTTACAAAATCAAAATGATTATCTGGGAAAGGTAATAAACCATTATTTATATCATATTGAATGAATTGTAAATTTTTAGGTTTAATTTCTGAAGGAAAAGCTTTCGTTATATCAATTCCTGTGAATTGAGTATGAGGATGATTGGTAGCTAATTCTAATAACCAGGTGCCAGGGCCACAACTAATAATATTTAGATAGAGATATAAATATATATATATATATATATATATATATATATATTTAGATAAATGTGAAAGAATTAAAAATAACAAATAAAACAAACAAATCAATCTTATAAATGAGATAATGATAATTACCCAACATCCAAAATGCGAGCATTTCCATTTTTCAATAATGGTTCAATTGGAGATGAATAATTATTTCCCCAAAGTACTTTTAATAAAAAGTGCATAATTTGCATACGATCAATGTCAGCATGATTTTTTGGTAAATGAAAATTTTGAGCGTAGGAATCGAATCGAGAAGATTCTCCTGGTTCGGAGGTTATTTGTGATTTCTTGGAAGAACAATGTTTCCTAGAGGAAGATGTCGTAACATAAGTTGCAGAAGTAGCAGAAGTGGAAGAAGATTTTGGTTTCTTTGGATGATGATGATGTTTTCGTGTGGAATTTGAGTTACCCATTTTTCTTTATTATAAGTATTAATTGTTTATTATAGAATAATAAAGAAAACGAGAAGCGTATATATATATATATATGTATATATATAATGTATGTATGTGTCTTATATTTTGTGTTTAAATAAATGTGTGCGGAAGATTCAAAAGATTCAAAAGAGAAGGATGAAATATAATGAAACAAGAAGAAGTATATCACAAATCAATTGTGGTAAAATGATATAGTAATAAATAATTAGTATTATTATTTATGGAAATTAGAGTAAAAACGATTTTTGGATTTTTTATTTTTCGAAAAAATTCGGTTTGTGATTGTATTATATATAAGTTTTTCGAAAGACTTATCACAATATAAATATTTTATATTATGGACCCCTTTTCAACATCAAATCATCGTTGTATTTTTTTTTTTTCAATTAATGTATTATTTATTTATATTATAACAGTTATAACAGATGTGTACTTTATAATACTTTATTTATACTTATATACATAAACTATTTTTACTCTACATATACTATTATATACTATATATGTATTAAATACAAACAAAAAATCGATTGATTGATGATTAATAAGTAACTAATGATTTTTTAATATTATTTATTCAAATCCCCAATTTTTTGGGGAGACAACGCACAAATCCAAAACACTTGCACAAAAAAAAAAAAAAGTAACAATACTTATTATTATATTATAAATATTATATGCGTTGAAATTGAAAATTTACCTTTGTTTTGTTCTTTTTTTTACAGGTTTTATGTATATATGTCTTTATGTAATCCACTGCAACTATTTACATTATTTTATTAATATTATATATATATATATATATTATTATTATTATTATAATTATTATTATAATTATTATTATAATTATTATTATAGTTATTATAATTGTTAATTGTTACAAATTCTATGAATGAAGAAATTAATGAAATTTTTTTTTTTATTAAATCTTGTCTTATACTTCTTTGATACTTCTTTGATACTTCTTCGATACTTAATATCAAATATGTATGATGATGATTTTGAACAATACAATATTTAAAATTCTTTTAATTGTAAGATTGACAATATTTGCTAATTATTTATAATAAAATTTGAGATTATTAAGTTTAAAAAAGTTTATAGTATAATACATACGAGTTTAATGAGTTTAATGAGTTTTAAGTTTATTGTCTTTTTTTTAACAACAACAATAATAATCAATAATAATCATCATCATAATCTGATAATAATAGAGTTTATTGTTTAAAAGTTAATTGTTTTAATAGCATTTTTTCTATTTTTCTATTTTAATCAAGTTTAATCAAGTTTATTCTGGCACGTCTGTCAATTTTTCTAATTTTATTGTTAAAATTAATTTAGACTTAAAGAATTATTATTATCCCAAAAATATATTCAAACAGTATTCCTTGAAATCTTTAAATTTTTTCCTATTTTCCTAACTAATTTCCTATTAAATATAACAATATTTCATTATATGTATATAAAATTTTTAATATTTTACTTTTTAATTGTTAGATTATATCAATTTTTTTTTTAATTGTTTCTTTTTTTTTCATATATACATATGTAGAAAATATATACATATATAGAAAATATATACATATATAGGATATATATAGAAAATACATACCTGAAAAATAATTATATTATTTTTTAACCTATTGTAAATAATAATTATTATTGACACAATAAAAAAATTCCCCGATAATGTTGATTGATGTTAATGCAGTGTGACTTCAAATCCTCCCAAATACCCAATTTTTTTTCATTTATCATTTATTTATTTGTCATTTCATTTATTACCCCAATTTACCACCAATTTACCTCCAAATTACCCCAGTGTTAGTGTAATGTATACCAGATAACAATGATCATATAAATGGGTTTGGTCATATGGATAGGTGTTAGTTTATATGAATGAATTTAGTTTTATGGAAAGTTATATGGTTAGTTAGTAAAATATGGTTAGTTAGTAAAATATGGTTAGTTAGTTAAATATAGTTTAAAAATATTTGATTTATAAAGATAACAAGAAAATAAAAGGAAATGAATGAGAAAGGGGAATAGGAAATTTTTGGATGTGAAATAAATTTCAATAATTTCCAATTGGTGGTAAATTGTGTGATAAATGAAAAAAAAAAAAAAATAATAATAATAATAAATAAATAAATAATCTTTTATTGTAATCTTTTTATTATCTTTTTATTATATAATTCAATGTAGTCGATCTTCAATCTTCTCAATCAAGAATTAATGTGATCAATCTTTGGCAAGGAAGGTAATGTACACAGTAATTACAATGCATTCTTATTTACTTATTTCATAGATTATCATGTATCTGTTTATCACATTTACATATTGTAAAGATGTCTTTTCTATCGACGACTTCTATTATCTGATATTGTTACCGTATTATTCTCTATATTTTTTTTTTTTCATTTTTCATTTTTTTTCTTAGCAAAATTAAAAATTCCCATTTGTTAAATTTTTTTCTCGGCAAAATAAATTTTACAGTAGTAAATAATAATAATAATAAATAAATATTTTATAATTTTCAATGATAAATAATAAACATTTTATGATTCAATAGTAGTAAATAATAATAAATAAATGAATAGGATAATAAATTATAATTTAATAATAATAAATAATATGTAAAAATTCGGGTAAATTCAAAAGTAAAAAAAAAAAAAAAAAAATCGGTAAATTCGGTAAATTCGATAAATTATAACTAAAAATAAATAACTAATAATGATTTTTTAATAATAAATATGTAAGGGCATGCAATGAAATCAATGGTGTTAAACATATTAGGTAATTCGTAATTTCTTCGGTCAAAGTTTTCTTAAAAAAAGAAATTAAAGGGTTTAATTTTACACAAAATAATATAATACACACCTCTGTGCTTGCATATATACATGTATTTTTTATTTCCTTCAAAGTAATATATGTACTATATTGCTTTCTGTTTACGCTAATTAGATATCTAATACGTTAAAAGAAATTCTTGAAAGAAAAAAATTTCCAATTAATCAATATTAAAATTTAACGACATAACCTTATTTAGGGTATAATTAGAATTACACTAAAACAAACAAAATATTTAATCTTTGTGAATTTATAAAAATTCTGTTAATAAAAAATCTTTTTCTGTTTCCTGTCAATCTGGTCATCATGTTTATCCGTTAACGACAATTAAAAAAAAAGTCACACACATAAAGCTTTATGTGTTTCTCTTTCTCTGCTGTCAAAATAATATGTTTTTGCCATGTTTTTGTCATTTTTTTTTATCATATTTTACTATGTCTTACCGTGTGTTTCCACCTTTCCTTATATTTACTTCGAATCATATTTTCTTATTTACTCAATGACAAATTTGTTAAATAAACAAAATAAAACAAAAATGGTTTCTTCTTTCTTTAAAAAATAAAATAAAAATAAAATAAAAGTAAAAACTTATCATATAATTGTGATACATTATTAACATTGTTTGATAAGATTTTCTTTTGTATCATGTTATTAGCATTATAATTCTTGGCTTTTGTTTTTAATTACTTTGTCAAATTTCCATTTAAGAATTACAAGCAAATATTAAAATTCTATTTTGGGTAACAATTGATCTTTTTTTTTTTTTTTTTTTAATAATAATAATAATCAACTCGTTTATTTTGTAACTCGTTATTTTGTAATAATAATCAACTCGTTTATTTTGTTGGTCACATCATTTATACATTAATAAACCTTTAAAATAAACTTGTTTTTTTTTAATAAATAAAGAAATAGAAATAAACTTGATTTTTTTAATAAATAAAGAAATAGAATATTCGAAATGATTTATAACTTTATTTTGACTTTATTTTGACTTTATTTTGCATTCTTTATTTTTTTTTTCTTTATTCATTCATTTTCTTTTTTTAGAATAATTAAAATAATTATCTAAAAAATTACTTTTTACAACCTTTGCGCGCGTATTTAACATGCGTTGTTACCTTAATTTTATTAATTGTTTAATGCAAACTTCTAGCACGTAAAATATAAACTTTACCTAATAGATAAAAAAAAATACTTTGATATACTTTTTTGATATTTTTGATATATATTTTTTTGATATACTTTTGTTATACGTATATTACATAATATTACATTCAAGGACATTATCTTCTTCGTTTATCATTAATTATATACTTTTTAAAAAAAAAATTTTTACATAACGTATTACTTATCAATATTATAAATATTATAAATATTATAAATATTATAAATATTATAAATATTATCTATATTATCAATTCACATTTATTTTTATTTTTTCTCACACATTTTACATAATTCGCAGGATTTACATAATTTGCATAAAAAGTTGGTTTAAAGTGTTTTAAAGTGGTTTAAAGTGTTTTAAAATGTTAAAAAAAAAGATGATTAACACGTTTGAAAAAGGATCGTTTAATACGTTTCATATATGGCTTTGAAGTTCAAACAACAATGACCATAAAGAAAATATTTTTATATGAACCTTTCTTCTATTTGGTATAGTTTCTTGATTTGTCATTAATCGAAATTTTAATTTATTTTTACGGTTAATTTGACAAAGGATCTGATTCGTTCAGGGAATGATCTTTGTACCAAAGTACACTACACTGTATACGTTGTATTACTTGTATGATTTTTCAAAAAAAAATTTAAAAACAATGTTTTTATTTTCGTGTTACTGATAATAATTAAAGTTTTGACGGAATTATTTTTTATTGTATTACAATAATTATTCCTTATTTATCAGGTAAAGAAAATTTAACTTTTTTTGAGTAACAAGAATAATATTTAATTTAAATAAATAAATCATATGTTTAAGTATTATTCTTTTTAATTCACCATTTTTAATTATCCTTTGTTCTTTGAACAAAAATAAAAATAATCTTCAAATGTTAAAAGTTTTATTATTTATTACTATTATTATTATTATTTTGTTATTATTATTATTGTAAATCAATACATAATAATCAATATCAGACATTGTAAGTTTTCCTTCATTTCCTTTATTATTTTTTTCGTGATGTGATTAAATGAATTTAGATCCTTTTTTTATATAACAGATAATTTATATATAATTATTTTAATCGAATGATTTTTGTTTAACAGAAAAACTACTTGCTTGATTTTTTTATGATATGATTTAAACTTTAATTAGTAGTTATTACAATTAGTTATAATCAGTATTAGTTATTATTGTTATCTAGTATTATGTATTTGATATTTTTTGCTTACAGGATAATTGAAAAAGAATTTCGATTATCCGTTTTAAAAATTAAATAATTAAAGATTTCAAATCTCATAAATAAATCTTCTTTTTTTGGTATAATTTTATAATTTCTTGGTAAGTACTATCATGCAAGCCATTATGCGGACAGATAATAAAATAATAAAATGTCATATGAATCATATGAATCATATGAATCGAGAGATTAATCGATATTCAATATGAACGACGAAACGTGACAAAACAAATATTTGATATTGAAGATGTGTTTAAATCTTGAAACTAGTGTTTGACTTCTTTGACGCTAGTTTAATTAAATTACAACCGTAAATCTTTTACCCGATATATGTATGTAATATCATATTTTAACATCTCCGAACTTAGATAGTCTTTTTCTTTTAATGAACAGTGAATATATTTATTATTATTATATACAGTCCGATGCCTAAATTTTGTGTAACATTAAATAAAATGATTATATAATATTATGTCATACGAAACACAATTTTACAAACGAAAAAAATGTCTTTAAAATTTTTTGATAAGTTATCTCAAAATTTTATTGAACTTCTCAATGATAAAGATGATCATAATGTAATAATTGAAGTTAAAAATAAGGAAAAAACTTTTACGGCACATTCCAGTATATTGAAACATTGATCATCTTATTTTTATAAAGAATTGGAAAATGTTCTCCCAAATAAAAACAATGTTAAGACAATTATTATACCAAAAATTTCTGTTGAAATTTTCGATATTATTCTCAAGTAAGTTATATTTTTATTTATTCAAATAAATATTATTATTATTCTAATTAAACAATTTTAACTAATGATAATAAAACTCTCTAATTATTTTACATATATATTTATATTTATGGTGGTATTGTTAATTTAGAAAATTTTGAAACAAGATTTATTTTTGACTTGATGTTAGGAGCTAATGAACTTGAACTTAAGGAATTATCCAAGAAACTAGAAACTGTTCTTATTGAAGATAAAGTTTCTTGGTTAAAATCACACTTTTCTCTTATTTATCATAATTATCATAATTCAATTTCTATTAATAACAACTTCACAGATTTGAAAAATTTTTTCAATGATATTATTGTAAAGTATCCTAATATCATTTTTGATGCGGAAGATTTTACATCTCTTCAAGAATCTATTTTGTTATCTCTTCTCAAAAGAGATGATTTACAGTTGGAAGAAAGTAAAATTTGGGAATATATCATCAAGTGGGGAATTTCTCAAAATCCTACTTTACCTATAAACCTCGGAGAATGGACCAATAACAACTTTTTGACCTTGAAAACTACCCTACAACAATGTTTACCATATATTAGATATTTTCATATTTCCGGTGATAATATCTTGAAAAAAGTAAAACCTTACAAGAAAATTCTTGACATACAACTTTGGGAAGATATAATGCAACATTTAATATCTCCTAGTCAACCAATAAAATCAACTATTTTACCATTAAGATCAGTTTTATTGGTTCAAGAATTACCTCCTATTCATTTAAAAGAACCTTTTTCAGCTATTATTTCTAATGACCACGCTGCAGAAATTTCCTCTTGGATTGATCGTAAAAGAATTACTTATTCTTCAATAAATTATCCTTACGAATTTCAATTAATTTTACGAGGTACTAGAGATGGATTTGCTCCTCAAACCTTTTGGAACTTATGTCACGGTCATGCTAGAACAGTAGTTATTATAAAAGTTAAAGGAACTGATGGAATTTTAGGTGGTTATAATCCTTTAACATGGGATAATTCTAGTTCTAGTATTTATAAGGAAACAAGAGATAGTTTTATTTTCTCATTAAAAAAATGGTAATATTCGAAACTCAATTCTGAGTAGAGTAAGGGTACCTCAATATGCACTTTATTGTTATGAAAAATATGATTTGAATAAAGGTGGTCCTAATTTCGGAGGAGGTGCACTTCGTATGTATAGTTATGTATCTGATTTTACTATGGACAGTGAATCTCGGTCTCATAGCCATGGATTTTATGAAAGACTTAGAAAAAGTGGAAATTTTTCAATAATTAATTATGAAGTTTTCAAAGTCAATAGAAAAACTACTTAGGAATTTTTATTTTTTAAGAATATTTATATCAACTTGAATATTCATATTTATATATATATTGATATATTAAATAAATCTATAACTTGAAATATTAAAATTATTAAAAATTATAAAATTATAAAATTATAAAAGTTTTTTGTTATTTTCTTATTACTTTATTTATAAATTATCAAGATTTTTCCTTTTCTTACATCACCAGAAATCTAGAGCATTCTTGACATTCTAATCAATTATATATTGATAAATCATAAAATGCCGTTAATCCATGTTTCATCTAAAAAAAAAAATTGGTTAGTTAATAATTCATGATATTTTATTGAAGATAGGAAATTTACATGGCACGCAATAAACATATTTGTGATTTAAAAAATAATTAGCAAATTGAATAAATAAAATAAATCAACTTATTTATTTTTTTTAAAAAAAGTTAAGTGATTCAATCTAATATATTTTTTTTTTTAATTAACATGTATATTTTTTTAAAAAAAGTTAAGTGATTCAATCTAATATATTTTTTTTTTTAATTAACATGTATAAACCTTATAAACTGGGTTAATTATAAAATTTGACATTAATTATGAATTGCTAAGAATCAATTTGATATATAATATTTGCATAATTAAAATATGATTCTTATATAATTTGCAACATAATAAATATAACTAAATATAAACCTATTCAATTGTAGAGTCCCAAAACAAATGAAATAATAAAAACAATTTACTTTATTAATAGAATTTATTATAAGCGGTATTAAAAAGTTTTTGCAGAAAGGGAAAGATACAGAAAAAATCAAATTCACAGATTGAAACAAAGGAAGTATTTAAAAAAGCTTTTACAGCAAAAATGTCTAAACATACTAAAGGTTGTGTTCTTCGTTATTTCAATATTATACAAATCGCAAAGTGAAAAATATTTCTTTGAAGCATTTCATCGTTCATTGAACGAGATGAGTAATATCAACAAAAAGAACAAAGCGATCATATTATCACAAAATTGCATTTCGTGTTCCAAAAAAATTAATTCATAGAGCGTAGACTTTCATAAATTTAGCATGAAATTTGTAATTAAGAAGCCTGAAATTTTATCCCAATTATTTCACGTGTTTGGGAAGCATTAATAAATGTGTTTGTATACTTTATTTTTGGTCGATATTTCCTTTACTACTTTATTAAATATAATTTTTTGTATTTACAATATTTACAAAAAAAACCAGATATTTACAAAGGATTTATGTACAAAAATTTCTAGAATTGCTTTCTATTGTAAGTCATTTTGTCTTGTATTGGTAAAAGGAATATTAGTTTTGATAGTAGTAAGGAATAGTATAGTGATTTCTTTAATAATCTAGAAATAAAGTTGGTTATTTCTGAGAATTTAGTAGTAGTAGTATGGGGTTGCTTCGGCATCTCTCTTGTAGTAGTAGTATGGAGTTGCTTCGGCATCTCTCTTGTAGTAGTAGTATGGAGTTGCTTCGGCGTCTCTCTTGTAGTAGTAGTATGGGGTTGCCTCGGCGTCACGTTTGTAGTAGTAGTATGGGGTTGCTTCAGCGTCACGTTTGTAGTAGTAGTATGGGGTTGCTTCAGCGTCACGTTTGTAGTAGTAGTATGGGGTTGCTTCAGCGTCACGTTTGTAGTAGTAGTATGGGGTTGCTTCAGCGTCACGTTTGTAGTAGTAGTATGGGGTTGCTTCAGCGTCACGTTTGTAGTAGTAGTATGGGGTTGCTTCAGCGTCACGTTTGTAGTAGTAGTATGGGGTTGCTTCAGCGTC